CTATCCTGGCACTTGCTCTGGAGACCAGGCTGGCCTCAAACTCACAGAGATCCGCCTGTCTCTGACTCCTGAGTGTTGGGATTAAAGGCGTGTGCCACCAACGCCCGGCCCCAGGACAATGTTAAAGATGTTTGTTTTCAATGTGAACAGCAAGGACTAGATAATGGAAAGGAAGCAGGAGTAAAAAGAAAAGCAGGAAGAAAACATGACAAAAGATATCAGGAAATCCAGATTACCCAGAGCAATGAGCATGAACAAACCAGGCTATAAGATGTCACAGAAAGCTGGCACTGAGTAGATGACTAATCAATTCATCCAACAGAGTGGAAGAGATACATTCAGGAGGAGGCTGGGAGCACGGAAGACTGGAGAGAACGTCAGCATGTAGTAAGAGATGATTAAACAGTTTAGAAAGCAAGAAAAAAAAAAAAAGAAAAACCAACCAAGAAAACCAAGGCCACATGGAAAAAGAGACAAAAATGGCTAGCTACATAGAAATGTGCTTTGTAATTATGAAATAATTACATTATGCAATGTTGGTACACTTCACATTTCAAATCTTGAATTAAGGAAACAGCAGTGAGGAAGGAGAACAAAGAAAAGATAAACAAGTTCGGCCGGGTGTTGGTGGCGCACACCTTTAATCCCAGCACTCGGGAGGCAGAGGCAGGCGGATCTCTGTGAGTTCGAGACCTTGGTCTCGACTTAGTGACTTCACAATGGGATGAGACAAAGCTAGGACTTCCACTCCTCACCTTCATCCCCAGTTTCAAAATCCAAATCCAAGTGTAGAAGAAGCCATTTACCAAACCAGGACATGTGCATAACAGCGGTTTTCAGGAGAGGAAAAACTCAATATTGGATGCACACAAATGACAAATAAGGAAAATTAGGTTTTGGATATAGAGGTCTGCACTGAGGGTAAAACTTTAAGCTCCATGAGTAAGTACAGAAAACTGTGGCCTTGGGAAGGGTCATCCAAAGAAAACTCAGGGAAAAGCACACTGTAAGTGCAACAGGAGGCCAAGAACACGATGGTTTTCAATGAGTCTATGAACAACTGCCTGAAACAAACACAAAACAGTGGGATAAAACCTATACTTAAATAAGACTTGGTTGTTTGGAGTTTAGTTTGTTTGCTTGAAACAAGTTCTCACCATTTAGTCTTGGCCACTCACACTGTGGTCCAGGCTGGCCCCAAACTCACAGAGATCCACCTGTCTCTGCTTCCAGAATGCTGGGATTGAAAGTGTGCAGTGCTAGCCTGGTAGAAACTTCACATGCACAAAACCCAGGAAGGCTGTATCTTTTCTAGAAACGATAGCTTTTCAATTTTTACTTGATTAAAGAAGACAGAAATGAACCAAGATTTTTTTCCTAAAAGACAAAATTATAAATGGCAGTAATGTTTGTTTATATGCAAGCCGTTTCTTCTCATCCACTAAGAAGTCACCTGAGATTTAACCCTCTTTCCCTGCTTAAAGCTCAGTGAATACGAATGAAAGTAACTTCAGTATTGATCCACGACTGTTTCCCTCTACCATCTGGCTCAGCATTCATCTTATTTTCAATGGAAGCAACAGGTGAATCTGCTGTAATAGTAGATTGCATGTACTCCTGGCAAAAGTGGGTAGCTTGTTACCCTGGTAAGTAATTGATCATGAACACCAGATACAACCAAATAAACTGTAATATGTAAAATTACATCTATGCTACAATAACTCTTAAATTTCAAATAACTAGAGTCCTTTATTGCACAAGAATATTAAAAGCTAGCATTAGCTTGCATTTTTGTTCAATGTATTACAATAAAAGGGTACTTAAAATTTGACAATTTGACATTTGACAATTAAAACTTGTATTTACACAGTATCAGTAGATAAAAGAAAGGGAGAGAAGAGGCGGGGCAGATCGAAGGAGGAAAGGAAAGGGAAAGGAGGAAGAGATAAAGCAACCCATGTGCAGTAACACAAAGATGGGAGTTCAGGGCCTGTCTCAGCTAAACAACTGTTAAGTTTTGAACCAGTATGGTCTACACAAGTCCTTAACTAAAACCTAAAGCTGCTAAGATGGCAAAACAAATAAAGGTACTTACTGCCAAACATGATGAGCCCAGGTTATATCTCTAGGACCCACATGGTGGGACAAAAGAACCTAATGTGACTTGTCCTCTGACCTCAACATGTACACCACAGTACAAGTACCCACACAAACGCACACATCAAATGCAATTTTTACAAAATTGTGCATAAATTTAAAAGAAAGGGGACACTCGGGAAGGAAAGGAAGAGAAAGAAGAGAAATGAATGTAAAGGAGACAGGGAAGGAGGGAGAGAAAGAGGGAGAAGGTGAAGAAAACAGAAAGAAGGAAAGGCAAACCTAAGTGTAATGTGAAAATGAACTGTGAAACACTTAATTCCACAAGACAAAGGTTTCAACCTGGAAACATCTAAATACCCTGGGAAACCGAAAGCCTATGGACTGTGCTGGCTCTAAGAATAAGAATCTGTAAACGGCAATGTGTAAGGTGCAGTTAAAAGCATCTGGGGCTTGATCAAACTCTCCAGGCGACTCTGACACACAGCAATGGATGAGAACTGAGTGCTTTATGTTGACTATATCCAATACCAAGGACACTGCAGTCCAATAGTCCAATACCAATACTCTATACTGGTCACTATTGCTTCTCAATGTGACTAGACCTGGGACCAACTAAGGGATATACGGCTGGTGGGGGGGGCAGGAGGCCGGTGGATATTTCTTGGAAGAATTAACTGAGGGGATGAAGACTACTCCCTAGAGTAGTAACTCTTTCCAGAGTCAGCCCTGATATACTCAGATCTGAGGGTAAAGCAGTGCTGACTTTCAACTGCCTGCTCTCATTCCTTACAGGTTGACTGCATCTACCCACTACTCTTGCCATCCTTGCTGACAGCAGAACCCAGTTTCTTTAGCCTCCCAATGTTGACTGAAGACAAGCAGCTCTCCACAAATATTCCAAACCTCCTATGCCAGACTGGGCCTACAGAGACATGCACCCTTGGGGACTGAACAGTGTTAGACTTCGCCACTCCTATTGTGGAAGCCTTTTAATCAATCCTCTTTAATATATTTTGATTCTATAGATTTTAGAGAACCCCAACTAACAACACAATCCCTAGTCTATGAAAAGGCAAAGTCACCATACTTCCTAGTCATTGTAGGAATTAAAGATAATGATATATCTAGGATACTTGGTACATTTCTGGTGCACTTAGTAAGCACTTAGTAATTCACTCATTTAACAAACATCTATGCAGTATCAGGAGATGGGAGACATAACTATAGGAACCCTGCAATGATGTCCTGAGAACACCTGAAGAGGATTTATACTCAAAAGTCTCCCTGAAGGGAACCCCATGATAAACAGGCATTAACTGGAAGCACGGGGAAAGAAGAGCATTTCCAGGCTCTCGTGGACACTTCCAGGAACTATAAACAATAGCCATGTACCTGAAAGGAGGAACAGAAAGACAGACAGTATACACACTGACAAGAGAGGAGAACAACGCCAAAGGCATTGTAGAGATAAAGCTGAAGAGCACACAGAGGGGACAACTGTGCAGGGCTTTACAGACCATGTTAAAAATTTCAGTTAATCCTAGAGTCAATGAGAAGAAGCAATTGTGATTGGATCTATATTTTGAAAATATCAATTCTAACATAGAAACTCCAGGAGTTAACCACTCCAGATGTAGGAGACTTAATGAAGCAGTAGAGAAAATGATGGTGGCTGGAACTAGAAGGTAATGCTGAAGACGAAGAATATGAGAACTCAAGAAATATTTAAAAGGCCAAATCAATAGGATTTCATAAGAAGTAGAGAATGAGAATGACAGAAGCTTGACAAATTTCAACTCCTATAGAAGGGGATAGAAACATAGTATGAGGACCCTTTTTTTTCTCTTGGGAAGATAGATCATAAATTTCAACTATGTCAACACGATATAATTCCCAATTACAGAATGGACTTGGGTGGCAATGTCTTAATATATGGAATTACAACACAGCTGTATTAGTTTACCGCTCTTAAAGACAAAATGAATAATTTTCACCTGTGTGTAAGATGTATCTTAACAGAATAAAGCACCATATATCTTCAATTAGGTTCCTTTCCTTTTCACCCTCCCCTAACCTTTACTAAGGGAGAGGCGGGGAAGGCCTCCAAAGTCGAAAAGAATCTTTGAAGCAATCACCAAACAGGTTCAGGTTTTATAATGGCTGAATGACTTGCAGCATTTTTGCATTATAATTTGCCCACACAGAGGCATACTACCTAGAAAACTTAAACCCAGCTTTTTTAAAGTGTCACCACATAATCACAATCCCTGGATTTGGTGTGTCAATACTCCAGCTGAAACTTACAAACCTAAAGTCGCTGCAAAGAGGTAGATTTGATAACAGTGGTGCCCTTAATTACTGAACACAAGCAACGTGTCCAGTTCTGCTCGCTTTATCTGTCCAAACCTTTATCCTTTCTCTGTAGCCCAAACAAACACGAGCACTGGAGACCCGGATGGGGATTTTATTCTCACAAACCTTATCTGCCCCACCCACCTCACACACAATAACCGTCCAGTCCAGAAAGACAACTACCGTCAGAGAAGGGCGACCAGAGTGCGAGGGCCATAGTTGGTGGTGACCCAGGTTACCAGAACCGAGCCTCAGAAACAAGGCGGGGGCTGTCTCACCAGCCCCGATGTAGGGTACCATTTCCCAAAAGGATACCGAGATCTCCACCGCGGAAACCCAAGCTCCTGCCCCGGCTTGGGGAGCTCTCCCAGCAGCAGACGACCCGGCAGCGAGTCTCCCGTCGCCCCAAGGCCTCTCCTGGAGTCTCCGGCCTCTGAGATCCGCTCCCCACTGCTCGTCGCTACCTGGGTCGGTCTTCCCGGGCCACCCACCGCCGGCCCAATCAACCCAGCCCGTCACTAGGCAACAGTCGCCAGCCACGAGGCTCGGAGAGGCCTTAGCCCACTTGCTGACCCAGACCCAGGTCGCCTGAGCCCGCGACCGGTCGCTCACCTCGCAGCCGACTACCTGGAGGGGCGGTGCTGGGGCCCGTCCCCGCCGGCTCCCTCAATGCTCCGGGCTGTGACTGCTCGGGCCACGCGCCTGACCGCTCCCGAACGCTTACTTCATCTCCCCCGCCACTCCCGAGGCCGCAGAACCCCAAGACCCAGGAGCAGAGGGGGAAGGGAGGGAAGGGACTGGGGAAGAAGAGCAAGAGAGGGGGAAGAGCACCGAAAGGTTTGCCCGGTCTGGCATGACGTCACTTCCGGGTGGCTCGGAAGGGGAGGGGCTTGGCCCTACCCCGGCCCCAGCGACGCGGTGGGGGCGGAGCTCCGTGCCAGGGGCGGAGCACCGGCGTCCGCGGACAGACTGACTTTTGACTCTCAGATTGGAAGATTTGGCACGAAGGACGAGCTCACCCAGCACAAGCTGGGCAGGCCGAGTTTCCGGGGCCATAGAAGGTGATCCTCCAAGAAAACGAGGACAGGCAGCCAAATGTATAATGGAGATGGGTGACCGAAGCGGCTGTCACCGCTTGCTGGACTCCAGAGGTCTGATTGTGGGGCCCCGCCCCTTTCCTGTGCCCACAGCCTCTCAGGCTCCCCGCTACCCATTCAGGTAGCCGCTCCGTAGTCCTGACACCCTCCTGCAGACAAGTCACCATGCTTCTGCCATGATAATGGACTAAACCTCTGAACTGTAAAGCCAGACCCAGTTAAGAGGTTTCCTTTATAAGGGTTGTTGTGGTCGTCCACAGGGATACGACACTGAGAGAGACAACACGTCTGTGTCTCTCCCATATATGTGTGGGGGTACACACAGAAGCCAGAAGAGAATGTCAGTTCACCTGGAGCTGGAGTTACAGGCACTTGTGAGTACTCTGATGTTGATGCTGGAAACCAAACTCAGATGCTCTGGAAGAACAGCTACTTCTCTTCACCATTAAGCCGTCTCTTCAGCCCCTTTCAGCACCTGAAAGCAACACACATACACACACACACACACACACACACACACACAGCGAGAGAGAGAGAGAGACAGAGAGAGACAGAGAGAGACAGAGACAGAAACAGAGAGAGTAAAAATAGATTTTAAAAACTATAAGAGCGCACGTGTGTGTGTATGTGTGTGTGTGTGTGTGCTCTGTATGTAGATATATGCACATGAGTGCAGGTGCCAATAATGACCAGAAATGTTGTCAACTTGACTGTATCTGGAATTAACTAAACACAAAATTGGAGGGCACAACTGTGAGGGATCTCTGCATAACTTGAAGTAGGAAGGTCTACTTCTAATCTGGGTCTTTGAGGTTGGAAGACTGACCTTTAATCCAGATTTAATCTGAGACCCAGTTTCTGTTAGAAGCAGTTTTGTATATAAAGAACATTGAAGAAGGAAGCTTTTGGTTTTTGCCTGCTTGGGCTCTCCTTCCTAGAAAGTCTATTCCTTCACACTGGCATTAGAGCCTAATTCTTCGGGATTCCAGTGTATACTGAGAACCAGCTAAGATATCCAGCCTCATGTATTGAGCAACTACTAGATTATGGAACTTTTCATTCATAGCCAACCAGTGTTGGATTAGCTGGACCACAGCCTGTATGTCATTCTAATAAATCCCCCCACACACTCAGAGAGAGAGAGAGAAGGGGGGGTTGTGTAAGTTTTGTTACTCTAGAGAATCCTCACTAATACATATCCCCTGGAGCTGAAGTTACAGTTGGTTGTGAGCTGCTTGATGTGAATACTGGAAACCAGTCCATGCTCTTCACTGCCAAGCCATCTCTCCAGCCCATACTGATTGCCTTTACTAAGTAACTGGCTCAACTCTCTCAAATAGTTTGCTATTGAGCAAAAGGAAGATTTTAAGAATTTATTTATTTTTGTTTATGTGCATGTGTCTGCATGAGCTTATATACCATGTGCAAACAGGTACCCCTGAAACTGTAGTTACAGAGTGGGAACAGAACCTGCATCCTCTGGAAGACTGCTAAGGACTCTAAACTACTGAGCCACTTCTCTAGCCACTGAGCAAAAGAAGTTAAAAAACAGAAACACAAAACAAAAACAAACAAACAAACAAAAAAAAACAGGATGTTCTGGCACATCTCTTAACTTCCAGCATGTAGAAGGCAGAGGGAGAAAACCAAGGTAGTTGGATCTCTATGAGTTCCAGTCCACTCAAAGCTACATAGTAAGAAACTTTCTCAAAAAAAAGAAAGGAAGGAGGACAGATGGACAAACAGAAATCCTGGTGGAAAGAGAGAAAGAAAAGGAAGGAAGGAGGGGAGTAAAGAAGGAAGGAAGGAGGACAGAGAGAGAGAAAAAAGAGAGACAGAGAGAGAGAGAGAGAGAGAGAAAGAAAAGAAGTCACGATGGAAATAAAAAGGAAAAATAGAAATTCTGATGAAGCCACAGCTCTGTAATAGCAAGGACTCAAATTTATTTATTTTCTTTCCATATGTGTTCTGAAGCAATCTTCAAGATTAAATAAAAAAGATTAAATATAGCTTGTAAATGCTTGTCTTAAGGTCTACAGGCACACACTATATTTCATATCAGTAGAGCAAGTTCCTGGGTTTATTCTTTTTATTGATAGAAAAAAATGTCATGCAATTTCAATGATTATATTATGGATTTCATAGGATGGGAGATGAAATTTAAGAAATTAGCACTGCCTATGCCATCAAAAACACAGACAATGGCGGTACATGGATCTCTCCACTTGACCTGAGCAAAATTCCCTCGAGTTCCGTCATGCCAGAATCTGTCTGCAGCAGATTACTCACTGGCATCCACATTTTAAAAGTTTAAAATGAAGATTGCATGATTTAATGCATCATGTGGTGACTGGGGGTACAGCTCCCCCCTTTTTATCTTTTACAGCCTAATTTTTTAAAGTGCCATGGGCCCGTTCCACAATTCCCTGTCCTTGGGGATTATAAGGAATACCTGTTTTGTGATCAATTTTCCATTGAGCACTTGACTACTTCTTTTTTCTGCAGGTGCTTCTTCTCAGACCCATTTGCCCTGGCCACCTATTTCTTTGCAGTGTCCACACCTTTGCCGTGTCCATTACTTCTTTAGTGTCCATTTCTCTGTGGTGTCCATGACTTCTTCCCTGTACTCAGATCCTGCATTCGGGCGCCATTTTGATGTGGCCCGACTTGTCTCAGTTCCAAACCACAGAAGCCACAAGGTCTGGCCCGAGTAGGGGAGCGTAGACTTGGAAATTCCTAGCAACCCAATGGCGATAAAGAGCACACGCAGGCATCTTGTTATCTTTGGAGAGCTCTCAATTCTCTGCTGCAAACTGGAGTCTCCCATTTATTCCAGCATTTTCCTCTCAACTGCTTTCTAGCCATTCCATGGTGATAGCTGAGACCATTTCTCCTCCACCTCTCTCTGGATCCTATCAGCAGATACCTCAAAAACAGTCTCTCCTCACGAAGACCTAGACTTCTGCCCTCTTGCAGGCCTATTCAAATGCTTAGGTCTGTAGAGATGCAGAATGCCCATTCTCTCCTGAGGCCATGCCATTCAACAGCAAATAGCTAGCATCTGAAATACAATGGAGATTAGAGCTCCTGGATACTGGAACTGGAGGTCTAGACCCCCAAAAATTCTCTAATAGCATAATTTTCGGCTCCCGACATATCATGGGGGACATATCACACAGACTTTCCCCAGTATTTATTCTAACTCTATCATGGAGGACATATCAAGCATACTTTAGCCCAAATGCCTTCTAGTGGTATCATGAAGAACATATTACATACACTTTCTAAATTTTATACCGAGAAACTACACAGAGAAACCCTGTCTTGGAAAACAAAAAAACAATTAATTAATTAATTAATTAATTTTAAAAATGGAGTTTTAAGATCACTTTAGTTTCACAGTCAAATCAAGTGGAATTTTCACATTTATTGCTAGTGTTATGTTTTTGTTAATTTAGATATAAAGAAAACGAGGAGGCAGGTACAAGATGAGACATATTAGCCAGTTTATTATAGGCCCGCCAGAGTAGGGAGACTAAGAGAGAAGAGGAACAGGGGTAATGGCTGACCGCCATGGCCAGTCACCATAGAGAAGAGCAGATTGAAGAAGAAGCAAGAAAGAGAGCAAAGCAGGGAAATTGGAACTTTTAAAGGGAAGACTCTGCGTGCACACTGAGGTTCCACTCATGCCCAGAATCCTCACACAGGCTGTAATTGCGTGGTGGGTGATGTGGTGATGGCATGTCCCTGTGTGTACCCTGACTGTTGTCAGGGGGCAGGGTCTGTCTCTTAAAGAGGTAGAGACGATCAGCATTAAAGCCAGAACCTTTCAGCTAGCCCCTTGCTGTGAATAAAACACCCAAAAGAATAATGTAAAGGAGAGAATATTTGTTTGGAAACATGGCTTGAGAGATTCCAGTCTTGGTGTTCAGCTGCATTGATTGAGCACCTGTGGTAAGGCAGAAAACCACTCATGCAATACCATGTGGCAGAAGAGGCTTGCTCAACTAACAGTGGGACAGGAATCAAAGAGGAGGGGACCAGAGAAGGGCCATAACATTCAAAGGTGTACCTCAGTGACCCACTGTTTCCAACTAGGCTCTACGTTCAAAAGTTTCCAGTACCTCCCTATGTAGTTTTATCACTTGAGGAACAAGCAATTAACGAGTGAGTCTAAAGGGGACATCTCATATTCAAACTACAATACCTGCTGTCAGTACCCTATAATGTACCAGAGTGGCACGTTTGTTAACAGTAATGAACTACATGGCACATCATCATCACTCAAAGCCCATAGTTCACATGAGAGTCCATGATTGGTATTTTATGTTGTATGGATATAAAGCAATATAAAATGACCTGTACCTGTTATTATGCTATCACAGACAGCCGTGTCACTGCCCCCAAAGTCCTCTGTGATTCACACACTCAAGCCTCTCTTTGTTTAACCCCTAGCAACTACTAATATTTTACTGTTTAGCACAACTGGCTTTTTAGATTGCTAAAATTAGTGTGTGGTGTGTTGATTCTGCTCCTGTGCCCTCCGTAGAGATTACATCAGGCAACACAGGTGAAGCAACACAGCTCCAGGGCACTGTTTACTTTAAAAAAATATATAACCTGCTAAACTGGAAGTGTGTTTGTCTGTACTTCCAAAAGAAACAAACTCAATACCAGATCTTAATATTTGTGATCTAAGACCATCCTTGTGAATATATCCATTGCCCATGTATAAACTCCTCCAAAAACAATTCACTCTTCTTTCC